TTAGTTCTTCATGCGTATTATAAATGCAGGTTGAAGAGTTGGCTTTTCTTATTAAAGACAACCTTCCTTGCAAGCACCTTGTTCTGTCCATGGAAGAAGCACTGATTAATTTCCTTCAGGATGATACAAGGTATCTTATGTGAATATTTTGAAGTAGATATTTCATTGAAAATTTGTTGTTACTCGCTAACATAGGTTTTTGATTATTGACATATGATTAAAGTCCAGGGAGGGTAGGAAGATGAATCAGATAACGCTATTGAGCACCATAGGTTTCTAATTATCATTTTGAGTAATGAAAAGTCCTCTGAAGTATAAGAAGAAGAGATACTGTATCTGCTTTTATAGATTTCACTTTTCTTCTTCCTAAATTCAGTTCGACTGGTTGCCCCTGGTTCCTGCCCCGGGAAACTTTCTTTCTGTTTTCTTGTCCGCTGCATTGTTTGTGTACCCATGTACATGGAAAAAATGTCTATTAACTTCTTTCTATACTAGGCTATCTTTGTTTCCAAGCCAAACCTTTTGTAAGCACCTCTGCTTTGCGTCATTTACTTGTCCATAATGGTTTTAACTGCTACAGTCGTGAAATTTTATGTTTTCTTCATTGACTATAACTGAAAAATTATACACTTGCATATTGCAATAGCTACTTTTCTCAATCCATATTTAAGGGTACATGACTATTTTTGTACATTTTAGTTTCAATATAGGGATACTCAGTGCTGTTAAATATTCTTTTGACTCACATAATTATGTTCTATGCAGATTAGATGGGGTGCTTGAACTGGAACCAATGAACCCTTATAACCGCCTGCTCATACATCGCCTTGCTGAAATCTTTGGGTATTTGTGCTTCAGAAGTTATTTTTGGCTTTATCAATATCATTCTGTGCATATGTTTTGGGACATCTGCTGAAAGTAGTAGAGTTAATCAAGCACATTATTGGTTCCTGACGTATGACAGATATAATGATTGTGTTCCCATGCTAGATTTTCTCATCATTCAGTTGGTGAAGGAGATGAGCGACACTTAATTTTGGAGCGTTGCTTAGAGACATCAATGTAAGATAAATCCCAGTGTTCATTGCTGGAACTTTATGTATATTTCTCTAGTATGTATCATAAATTCATGTATTAATTGGATCCTTCCACATTTTAACTCTATATTTTTAGCCCCTGTTTGTCTACCACTATTTCAAAACTATTTTTTTTCTCAAACTCATTTTCAACCAAAATAAAATATTTTGCACGTAAACCCAAAATGTTTTCCTACTTTTTAACCACATCACATTCTTACAAAATTCACTATTCTAAAACTCATTTTTCTACTTTAATGGTAGACAAGGATGGGCTTAATTAAAACGCATGTAGAATTTCACGTATATTACAATTTACTTTTCTTAGATATCTCATAAAAGGGAGTTGGTAAAATCCAATTCTGTTAAATTAAGAAAAAAAAATTCTTTAAATTGGTGAAATCTGAATTTCTTGAGTTCTTTTGTACATTGGATTGAATTGCAGACCTTCTATCCTTGTGAGCGATCTGCTATCGAAGTATGATGACGTGCAATCTCCTATGAATATTCAAGTATTAAGAAGGAAAGAAGTTCAACCAGGTAAAGTATATTATTTGGCATAGCTAAGTAATGTATGCCTTATTATTTTTTCTTTTCAATTTCATGATAATGCAGATTTTTTTCTTTTCTTGTATGGTATCAATTATTGGTGGTATCTTATAATTCATCATACTACTGGAACATATATCTTACATCATCTCTGCTGTTCAAGTGATACAGACCTTCAAAAAATTCAGCTAACTTTTATCTGCCAAAGAACTCTTAGGAAGTTAGTAATGATATTATGATTTGGAGCAACATTCCTAGTTCAGGTAAAGAAGAACACTAAAATGAAAAAAAAAAAGAAGGGGGTACTTAAACATCCATGTCTGGTCATTTTAACTAGATGAATTAAGGATTGTATGAAGATTGCTTCTCTTGGTTGAGCACCAGATGTTTTGATTGTTTCAGAAAAAAAGCAGTGGATCCATCCATAATCTCTTTTGTTGTTTCCAAAGAAGTGGCTACATATACATTCGTTTAATTACCGAATATTAGAAGCCAGTATCACTTCAGGATGCAAAATAAAGGTGTACAAACTACAAAATGGATGAATGAGCAAGCCATATTTGAGTTTATCAAAAATAAGATATTGATTAAATCTCATACATCAAAGCATTTCAACCTTAAAAGTGCTATCAGAATTGGACATTGTGAGCCATATTTATTAAACTTGGTTAGAGAGTTGACCTTTCTGATCAAGTCAATAAGTGTCTGGTTGAACTGCCTAGTCGCATAAACAGTTGAATTTGTAAAAAAAATTTAGAAATTAATGAATATGCCAAACATAAAATAAATATTGTAAAGCAACACTAGCAATACTAAAGTAGTAATCTGTCATTCAACAATAGTGAAAAATATAAAATACCATCATTTCTGTGAAATGCCTCTATCAGATCATTATATTAATCATTAATAAAGCAATCAGATCATTTTTGTGAAATGCCTTTTTTCTTTATTGCGTTTAAGACAGTTAGTGTTAGAGCAAATTAGTATCACATCTGATTACCTAATAAATGAAATGAGAGCAAGTATGCTTGGCAAAACTGTGTATCCTGGTGGTTAAGTGCATCTGCATTTCCTTTGGGTCTGCAGTTCGAATCTTTTTGAGGCATTTGATTCTTATATTTAATGAACAGAATGAACCCGCCTGGATTTGGGCTCCCTAGAAATGGACAGGTCAACAGATTTAACCAAATCAGCCTGTCCTAGTGGTTACTTTTCTGGGTTTTTTGTCTGACAGCCACGTTAGACTAAGTTCAATAACTATTATTGAACACCAGCTTATTTTGCAATTTGTTGTGAAGTCTTCTACATATTGACTATTGTCGATTGTTTTTGTTTTCAAAATGAAATCAATGGAGAGAAGAAGATTCTTATTAGTACTTACCGTAAAATCTGCCAACTTCTGCAGTAGTAAGATTTTGCATTCATGAATATTTCTCCTCCTTCTGCGATCTGAAGAAGTTGAAAATCAAGTCACAAAATATACTCGTGTTTAGCAATGTTGAAATCTGATAAATTAACATGGACAGTTTGATAATTGTCTTGATTTATATGAAATGCTATATGAATCAGTGGATGTTGTTAAGTTGGCCTTGTATGTTTACTTAAATGAATAGAAAGTGTAATTATGTGCAATGATTAAACTGCAAAGAAGCTGATCATATTTCTATTGGGTGTTTTATTAAACAATGCCAAAATAAGCACACTGATTCTTGCAGGCAAGAGTCAAAACTCCGGGACTGAATCCTCACACGAGAGTAAAACAACTCCTTTTACTTCCAGGGAAAGGATCTTTTTGGCAGATGAACGTGAGAGACTGGTAAAGCAGAGGCCACAACATGATCCTAAGGTTGCTCGACGTATGATAACGCATGCTCTTGGCCAAAGAATCAAGTCGACGAATCATGAACTTAGCTTAAGGGATAATAAAAAGTATGGACACCCTGTGAAGGATGTGAGAGTCCAACCTGAGGAGGAAGGGGCAATCAAATCGAGCAGTCACACAGAGACAGAAGTCCCATCTAACACATATCCAGAGCCTGCTAGGTTCAAGGTACACGAGCAAAGGAGTCGAAGAACATCTTCTAAGATAAATTTATCTGCTGAAGAAAGAGAGGAGAATAACATCCAGAATGACTCTTCTGGAAAAGAGCTAATGGGAGCTGCAAAGAGATTGTTTGCTAATGCCTTGGGGATTCATCAAAGAGAGGGTAACCCATCTAAGTGCAATGAAACAAGGCAAACCAAACTAACTTGAGAAATGCTTTAACGGGATTTCAACAGGCCACTTCCATCTGATTGTTGAGTGACTCTATGGTGGTGTTGTTTCTGTCTATAAGATATTTGGCAGAAATAAGCTTTGGTAGCGTTGTGTCCGTTCTGAGCTACCAAATTGGAATGTTTCTGTGGGATGGACTTGACAGACCAGTGGCTTTTCAACTTATTGATCCTGGGACTAACAGTGATGGTATTTGTAAGTCGAATATTAGGTTATTAAAATTCTTGTATAGATAATGTCTCTCTGCCCACCCTCCAATTATCACACTGCATATTTTCTTCCTTCTGCGATAATTTTAGAGCGTGAGATCAGTGTCAGGTCCACACATGCTCTTTCGCCTTGTGTTACCATTTGTTTTAGGAGTGATCTTTCAAATGTATATGGTAAGTTCTGCAGTATACATGTTGTGAAAATTCGTTCTAAGATTGCCTTTTCAATTTATATGGTAATTTTCTGTAATTTTATGTTGTGAACATATAGAAGTTAAATTTGATGGTTCCATTGACATCTATTGGTGATCCAGTGTACAATTCAGCACGTGCTTTTCCTGTGTTTTTGTCTACCAATAAATTTCAGTCTTATAAAACCATAGTACAAATCAACCACTGGACATTCAAACCATTAAAATTTACGACATAAATGCCAATATTAAGATATTATAAGCTTGCAAGTTGATTGATTATCTGGACATTTTCTTTAGGAAAACAGGGTAACAAATACAAAGAATCGGTGTTTTTCAGCCATCAACTTCTCTATGAAGTATGCCTATTTGACACTCAATAACTACAATATAATAAACAGTGGGGATGTTTCTCAATATGGTATTTTAAATTCAGAATCGTACTCTGCACAGCACGTGATAATATTGCATCACTTCTCTACATTATTTCAATATTTCTGCCTAAAACAATGGATACAGTTATTATAGCCCTGAAACGGTGAATCTTCAGGCACAAGATAAGCTTCCACACAATATGCCTTTTAACACTTCTAGGGGGCTCCTCCTAAGGTGCATAACCACAGAATTTTCACAGCACGCTCAGGAGATTTGACAGAATTTTGAGTGCTGCTCAGCTACTCGTAATATACAAATTGTAAGGCTACTCGTGGCTTTGGGTCGTGGAAGGTGCCTCTTTTTTAGCTGAAGCACGAATCATTGACTCGGTAGCTACTAACTTTTCCCTCAGTATGACACTATATTCATACATCTTTTGGAGGTTATTCTGAAGATCAACCATACTGATTTCATCAGAAGCCTTCAGTTCTGCAGAAGAAAAGAAACAATGGCAAATGTGAACTAAGAGGTCTCAAAAACAGAAGAATCATTAAGAAAAATTGTACAGGTTATAATATTTTTATATCCAAAGCAGAATATCCTATTAAATCTGTTTCTTCTCTTTAGGTGGGATTTGCTCAGCAACTGATCTTAACATGAGAAGCTGCTAGACATATGTATATGCAATCTCCCACTTCCTGCACCACCTCCAGGTGGATTCCAGTCTCCACATGGATAAAATAAGAAAATATGGAAGGAGTAACAGGTGAAGTTGAACGCCTTAACTAGATCAATCAATCAATTACTATCAGGAAAACATGAATTGGGAAAATAGTAAAACCGAAACAAGAGATTTCTTTTCAAGTAGCATAGTGAAAATTCCAGTTCTGCAAAATCAACTAGATAGAATTTGCTCGTTTTCTTATTGTAGTACATAAGTAGTTGCATGAGATAGTAACATGCACCACGAGGGATGAAGGTCCAAGCTTTTAGATTCTAATACAACTGATCTTAGGGCATGACATCAAGTGAGATCTGCTTCTGACTTCAAAAGAAGGCAGCATGACTAACTCCCTCTACTACAATCTAAATCGCTCCTCTTTTCTTCCCCATTCTCCTCCGCTGTAATTTCATCTCAAAATAGTGAATTATGACTGAGGTTCCAATTAACTTTTTGCAAAGAGATGCTCTAAGCCCGTACACATGCCACACTTGAAGTTGCAGATAATACTCAGCAAAGAAAAAGATGGATAGAGATGAACAATCAATTTATTAAATTTCTCCATTACACTCCAGGCAGCACGACTCCCTTACCATCACATAGCTTCTTCAATAATCATGCCGTGCTCCACGTTAGTGCCGTCTTCCATTAAGTTTCATTCATTTGGCTGGTGCTAAATTCGATTTTCATTTTCCTTCTATTCTTGGAAGCAGTCTACCTTTTCATGATCATTACAATATATGTAGCATGTGAGCAGCTCAGTGTGCTTAATAATGGTAACCAGCTACTCTTCTCATACTTTTAAAGTACTGAAAACAAATACCTTGCATTATCGAAGAGCCAAAAAGCGAATTTGAAAACTGTTAGGTTGGCATTTAACCATACTGTTGTTTTCTTCACTTGGTAAAAGTTAATATTATTGTTGGAGATAAAATGTATGATTTCATCTCCGATCACTAATGAAGCAAGGAAAACACGAAAGATGGCCCGGGGGGGTAACTAGTAAAAAGCAAACATACATCTTGCTTCAAATTTTGAAACAACAGAAATGGAAAGCCTGAACTTTTGAATCTAGCTCTCACCTAATGGTGGAGGTGGTGGAAGGTTAACATCAGCCATTGGAGATGCTTGGTTCCAGCAGAAATCTACTTGGCATGAACCTACATTACGTTCATCTTTTCCATCTTTTAAGTTTCCAAGGACTAGATCTTCCTGAATTTAGAGATCACAAAAATATAAGCAGATCCAATAGTTTCATATTTAAGAGATACTTTCAATCGAAATATTACCTTGCAAAGAAACGGACAAAATTAAAAACATTGTAAATCATATTAAACAATCTTCAACTTGAGCCCCAGTAGCAATTCACCAGCTAAAATTGTTGCGCCACTTTAAACGAGGATGTTCAAGGGAAATTCACGCACTTAATGAAAATGATATAGATGTCCATAATACACAGAATTCTAAATATAAATCTTCCTCGCTTCCCTGCCCCCTCGGTTGTGTTCCGAGCTACTTTCACTCCGCTAAGAGATTTGGGGGATGCTCATTGTTCAAAGCCAACCTAATCTAGTCTTTCATTGAAAATCTGTTTGGTAAAGTGTAAGTTCGGTGGCACCGAGGCACATGACGATCCTGGTACTATATAATGAGAGAATCTTTACACCAAACCCCTTGATGTATAGATATTGGTGCACTTCAATAGAAATGGATGCGCTTCCTATAAATATTTTCTTGAGCCTTAAATGAACCACATTCGATTCCTTTGTGAAACTTGTGTTCACCCTTGAAGCCTAAATTTAGTGGTTTTTAAGTGTATTGGTTCCTATCAGGACTTGGTCTGCAACAATTTCCCTATTTTTGGTCGTACTTACAATGAGACAAAATAGAAAACATGGACAATTCACTTTGAGTCCAGGGAAATCTATTAACGCACTTTTCAATGATGGATCAAAAAAGTATTTATGATCCTTTATAGAGATGTTATATAATAGATATTTGTAATCGATCATTTATCACTACCAAGGTTGCCTTCTTTAACTGAACGTCTTAGTAACAAAATTACAATAGAAAAAGTTATTCTTTCCGAGCGAGTAGCATTTGAGACATATTTATTTGAGGAGTTTTTGTCATCCGACTCCTCAAATAAAGATGTTAGGATCGTCGGTTCATCCCCAAAATTCGAAAAGAAAACAGAGATAGAATGGCTCGAGTTCTAGGAAAATCCTAATGGATTCTTCTTTGCAAGAGACACCCCAGAGTTCAGTGATGTCTACGGCAACCTTGCTGAGTTTGCTTTAATAAAAGACACAAGCAAAGAGTTACAAAATCAAGCTTTACATGATGTTGTGATATTGTGACACTTTGGTTAGGTTAGGCTTGATTGACTTTGTGGTCGTTGCTAAATGATCGGGGTGAGCAAAATTCTGAAGAGGCCTTCCTTCACAGTTAAAACTCCCTTTGAATGCCAACTCTTAGCAATATCATTTCTTATATACTCGCAGTTCAATTCCAAGCCTCAGGGCAATTGATAAGATAAAGAACCGCTCCGCATCATGAAGGCTACAGATGTAGGAGCAATCCCAGTTAGTGAAATCGCTCGATTGAAAGGAGAGGAAGAGGAAAAAAACGATAGATGGAATAAGGTGTAGACCACCCTGTATTCCTATTCTCCACCTCAGCTTACTCTAGCAAGACCTTCCTCCCATTCCCCAGCTGCATAGTAGTCAAGATCGGGGCAGCATGACTTGCACATGCCTATTTCACATTAGGAGGTATCGGAGCAGGTTTTTATCCCTTTCATCACTGGTTCCATTGGGTAGCCATCCTGCATGCCTTAATTCATTCTAACCACTTGATTTCATTAACCCCTTCATGTCATTTAGTTGTCTAGGAGTCAGATCCATTGTTACTAATGAACAATGAAAAGCACAATTTTTCGAACAATGACAACTATACACAAAGGTGCATTCCCACACTTGGCAGACAGAGCGACCACCTCACCAAACAAAGAAAAAAAATTGAACCATATCCCAATAAATTAGGGGCTAACTACATGAATATTTTTGTCACATTTAGTCCATGATGCAGTGCTGAAGGATTTAACTTAATTCAATCATCAAGATCACTCAAAGCACAAGGGCAGACCATAAGGAGCTGTTGGACGTAGCCACTCTTTACTGCTTTCAATTTGCTGCTTGTTTTATGACTTAAATACCCTTATGATTTAATTATTACAATAGCTTAGTAATGGATTAATTTTGTCGTTCAGCTGTTTGGGATTTCAGCACGCTCCTGACTTTATATTAATCTGTTTCAAACATTAAGGGTTGTTATTATAAAATTTCGGTGGCTTGGAGATCTTTAGCCTTCTATTAATCCATACCTGGTATTCGTTGAATCAATAGGTGTGTAATCACCTTGGTTTTTATCGTGCTTTTTTATTCCGCTGGACCATTAGTGGAATCAGAGCCTAATGGTGCAGCAAAATAATGATAAAGCACGATAAGAACATAGCGTGATTACACACCCGTTGATTCGACAAATATCGGGTATGAATTAATTAAGTCTGGAAATCTCCAAGCTGCCAAAGTTTTATCAAGACAATCAACAACCCTTAATATTGAATGCAACCATCCACTTCATACTACATTAAATTCCTATCTCCAATAATATAATGCTTAACATCTTGTTTTTCACTCTGCAAGTTCCACAATCTTTGTTAATTCCTTGTATTTAGACATTGCAGGTAAATAATATTGTGATTTATTAATTTTTGCAGTCTAGCGTATCAATTTTCTTGAATATTTCTATATATTGGTAAGCAAATATGAAGACCCCATGGCTATGAAAGATAAATCTCATAAATTGTGGATGTACAATAGTACAAATACATAATTCATATTCTAAATGTCGTCCTTAATGGAAACATACAGATAAGTGCTTTATTCAGTAAGTTTATATCATAACGTACCTCACAATTGAGAGTGACTTATCTTGGCCATAGAAATTGAGACTTATAGATAGAAACATTAGTGCATCCGGAATGCAGTAGATAAAACTATGTGAAATTATGTAGCATAGGGACAGCCAAGTTAATTGATTTTTACTGGATTGACAAAACAATCCATCTTAATCCTGCATGTACTGGACATTGGTTTATGATCCGATGTCATCAATGAGTGAATTCTAATGTGACCACACAGTAATTTAGGGGTTCGGCTTGTGAATACTTGGAACATATATCCACGTCTCTAAAGAGAGGAGAATGTCCTTATAAAGAATTTTTCAAGTATCTAAGTGTTAAGCAATTCAATGAAAAAATCACTAATTATTCTATTGGTGATTGGACCATACTTAAAATTTACTGAATTATTATATTTGCAATTCAATAATAAGTTAATTATCCCACAGAGAAAAATGTTACACAAGGATAAGGTGTGATCCGAGGGGTAAAAGACAAACATTTCACACTTGCTCAAATTATTGATATATCAGTGGGACTCGACTATTGGGCTTGTTATTTTGGAGCCTAGCACACTTGATTATTAAACAGACTCATGAGCTTCATTATTTAAGCTAGTAATCTAAGAGAGTAACATTGAGCCTTTAGTGGTCTGAACCACTATTGATATACTGAGTCCAGATGAATTATTCACTGTGTTAGGGCTATGCATGGGAATTTGAGTCAGACAGGGACTCAGAAGACTAGATTTTTTGAGAGACTGAATCCTATTTATTCTAGGGTTAGAGGCACACCACAAGACAATTCTAGATCCCTTGATTGACCCTCTCTGTCTCTCTTGAAAAACATGCACTACACTATCAGTGTGCATTTTCTCCTGCCGCGTCCAAGATCCAGTCCAAGCTCGATTTTGAAGGTGCTCACCCACCATAATTCTTCTTGGAAAATATCTGAGAAGATCTAGTAGTTGGAGGCTTGTAGTGAGGCAATATAAACAAAATGGATCAGATCTACACAGTTTGAAATTATGCTTCTGCCTTGTTCAGGAGACTCAACAGTTTTAATTCCAAAATTTACCACCCTGTTCCTTTTCTTTCCTTGCATATACACCCTAACTCTTCTCCCTTCTCTACTACCCATTTTACCTCTTGCATACAAGTTCTGTTAACTTTCCTCATACACATCACATTTACTATTTCTAAGGATTTTCTAGCAAGTGTCTCTATATTCTAAGTCTAACCTCCTTACCTGCCTTGTCCATTATAGCATGATAACCTGGCTTACTTTTTGACACCAAAACAGGTTTCAAAGTGCCACATCGCATATAGAGTACTCTCTAACTAACCCTTGCCATCATTGCCCCTCACATTGCCAGTAGCCAGTTTGGGACATCATAAAAAATGTAAAAACATTTCCTCTAGCAGAGGTGCTAAGAAATACAACATTGTGAATAATGTATGCAAAATTGCAAGTGGCCCAAAACATAGAACATTCTCATTGGAAAAGAGAAACAAAAATAAAGGCAACTCACTGATTCGTTTCTTGAAAATGATGTCCTCTGTTCCAGGTTCGGTGCAGGATGAGTTGAGCAAGATTTAACTTCTTGAGTGTGAACACTGTCTGGCACAGCAATCTGAAGTGATCCATTTATAAATTTAAGGACATAAGAAAAATTTCAAAACAGCAATACAGGAATGATATCATGACCATATACTAGTATTGCTCAGACACAAATTATTCACCACCTTCTCACTGGATAAACTAACCTTCCTGCTAAAACTAATATCATCCATCCTGTTTTGCAGTCTTCGTTTCTGGGAAGATCCGCCTGGGTGGGATGATTCCATCCCAACACCAGGGAAACATGCCACATTCTTCTCAGTACTGTATTTGTCATCCAATGAGCTAGATCCCCATGTAAACATCACATATTTTCTCAACTATATGAAGATATAATCAAACGACAGTTACTTTTGACAGGTTCAATCAGAACGAAAATAAAGATTAAAAGCCAAAAACAGCGGTAAAGTGAAATCAAGCCCTTAATTTCTTTACCATTTTTGAGGAATATAAGAAAACTCACTTTCTCCCAACGTTCTTGAGCTTTCCGACGATTTCTGATCTTCCGCATTACGCTATCCTCATTGCGAAGCCTCTTGATTCTATACTCACACTATAAATGAAAACCATCAGGAGAAACAGAGAAGTAGTACACAACTGAATCTGCTACTCTAACATTTAGACATATATTTTATTCACTAGATTGAATAGTATATCCTCCAGAAGATGGATCACTATTCCCAGATACTTTAAACTCCATTTTAAATTGAAAAGGTTTAACATCTTAATTTAAATATTTTTGAGAGATGCCCCTTCTTGGTTTCATTGGATTTTGACTCCCAAATAAAAGTTTCACAGCTTGAATTAGGTTTAATTCTCAAGATTTGAAAGCCAAATATATATTGGAGCAAACCACGTGATCGAATTCAAATAAACCAATATGTAGTCATCAAATTGAAATAAACCAACAGACAAAACCAAATCATAATCCAATGGGTTCGGCCAGGTTGAGTTGTTTGCCAGTTTTTTTTTTTTGGTTCTCTATAAGGACGTGCATAACTCACATTATCTGTTACCAATCACCTATTTTCCAACAACTGACGTACTCTTTCTTCATACTGTTATACCAAAAGAATCAAATGTTAGAAAAAGTGCCATGTGAGGCCTCTTGTTTTTAACTTTTTCACATACAATGAACCGTTATCTTTTTCTTCGTTTGTGTAACAATTTGCAGGACATCGATGCCTTCATTGGGTTTCAATTGGTCTGAATCTCAACTTCTTTGAAGTTGTATTGTGTACCAAAAACACAATGTTTTTGTCTACGATTGATGCATTTTCCTTAAGATATATTAAACTACACACATGTACCATCACAAAGCCAACACCTATTGCATTCTCCAAGGCTAGAAAAGAAAGAGTAAAAAGTTACCTCGCTCAAGAGAATAAGAATACTAACAAAAAAAAAATTCAAAGGTTGCAATTTCTACTTTTATCCTCTTTGGCTTGAACCATCAATAGAACAGTAGTAACTGCTTATTTCTCTTTACAATTTTAAGTTAACAATTATTAGGAGTGGTCAGACCCTCTTCAAATTAACAATCTAAAGAAGTTACAAGTACTTTGAGTCCTTTGTGCTTAGCTTTTTTCTTGAGTACAATCTACCTGCACCTGGGGTTTGGCATTGAACTCTACCTTGTCTAATGTCTATTGATAAATATTATTAGTACAAAAGGATGGGCAGCATACCAGTTCCATTCTCTACATAATAATGAGAAATGTTCACATATTCCTGTGTGCACGACATGTATCCAAGCTAGTAACAGGTGTGGGTAATCTATGTGACAAAAGAAGATAACTTTTCCACAAAAGATCAAATGAATAGCAAACTGTGATAATTTACACAAGAATTACTGAATTAGTGTAAAGAAATTCATAGTACTCATATAGTGTCATTAGAATATTCAAGCTCAAAGGATAACCATAGGATGTAGCATTTCAGTAGTCTTCAACTCGATTCAACTCAAGAATTCATCCCCTACTGACTAGGAATCAACTGCACCAATTTTCATCTTCCACTCCACTTGTCCTAATAATAGTTTGTCACTTTTCCCAACAGCTGTATCTTCGCCTTCTCTGACTGTTCTTAAACTATCTCAATCTATTCTCTAATATTTTGTCTTCAATAGGTGCTACTTTAACCAATTCACCGATATGTTCATTTCTTACTTAGCCCATGTTTGGTATCACTTCTTACTTAGCCCATGTTTGGTATGAATTAAAATCAGATTTTAATCTAACTCAAAGTCAAACAATTAATATTAACCACATATTTCATTGGTTCCACAACTTTCAACAACAGATTCCATCAACTTTTATCAAAATCTACTAAAAATCTAATTTTAACATTTACCAAACAAGGCATAATCATTTAATTGGTTTGCCCCTCTTAAGTAACATTCTCGTCTCGAGTTACACTCAATTTACAAAAATGTTGTTTCTTAGCCACCCAAAGTTTAGCCTCATAAGATGTTGTCGGTCTGAATGCATTTCTGTAGAGTTTTCCCTTTTGGTAAGATACCGAAGGCTCTGGTTAGATACAATAATTTATTTCTTAAATTTAAAAAAAAAAGGAAAGTGCATTCGTCAAAAGGAGAATGTACCATTGAACCACAAAAATGTAAAAGAAAAAATGAAGAATATAATACATCTTTACACCCAAATATGATTTAAGGAAAAAGAAACCCCTCGACTTACTAGTAGAAGCTCAAAAGGATGGTAAAAATTTTGCCTTACCCCAAAAATGAAGAAATTGCATTTTTGCAATTTTGGCTGCACTCTTGTACTTTTGGAATGTAAATTTTTTAATTATTTTTTGGCGCTTTGTCTTGTATTTTAGGGTTGTTACTGGATCAATTTCGTATTGGGCCTTTTTTTTTTCTTCTTGGCGGGCATGGTAGTTACTGGGGATGAGTTGAGTTGTCTTTATGGCTAGTTGGATTATAGTGTTTGAGCTACAGGTTCTCACTTGGTTGGTAATCGTTGTGGGATTATGTGCTCAAGTGGGCTGTAACAAACATCAACACAGCCTCAATGAGTTTGCTCCACCAAGGAAGGCTAATGGGGTTAGGATACCCCGACCGTATATAAAATCAAACCCACGAGAACAAAAGGAAGGGGGCATAAGCCAAACCTCCCAAAAGTAGAGCAATGCACATATACAAGAATGAAATAAATGGGAAAGCTCTACTTCCTAAACAAAGAAAGCAAGTGAAAAGCAAGCTAATGTCCTCTAATAGTAGGAAGTCCATGTCGATCGATCTGTACAAGGGCACGAGTCATCATGGTAAGTCAAGCAGACCATACTTCTGATAATGACGTTGCTCCCAACCCTCGGATGCAAGTGAATCAGCTACCTGATTTCCCTTACGGTAAATGTGAAAAACACTATCTTGGTCAAATAAGAGGTCTAATATGTCTCAAGGTGATATGAATCGCTCATGGTCCTCCACCCTTGGTGATGCAATAAATGACCACAAATGAGCTAGCTTCCACCCATATGTCACATAATCTAAGTCGATGAAAAAATAAAACCTCATCCAAAATCGCTCGTAACTCAGCCTCCAAAATAAGGCATCGTCCATATGATAAGAAGAAAGCCCTAATGCATTGTCCATCGTGGTCACGAATAATGTTCCCACCACTAGCAAAACTTTCCTGGACGCATCCATCAGTGTTGACCTTGTATGATCCCACAAGTATGGTATACTAATGAACCAATATAGGGGGCGTTGGGGAGAGAATAGTTAAAGAAATACCAAAAAATGGGGCGATAACCAAGTCCCCAAGCCAATGAACAGGTCGTAGAAGACCTATGTGGAGAAGCGAAATCATAAGGTAGACTCCCCAAATGATCCATCGAGGCTCCATCCGTTCTCCATGTGCTTCGCATTATTCCTCTTTGTCCACACAAACCAAAATATCAATAGTAGAGTGATAATGCGAATGTGTCCATTTCGAATATGCTAGCCCGAATATTTTCACGTTAGGAACCGATGTCAAATTCCCTCTCTTGATCTCATAGATATTCGAAATATATCTCCAAAAGTATGTCATAACTGATCAGAAATGGTGCTACCTAAGAAAATGTGTGTAATAGTCTCAATCTCCGAAAAATACTGACAGTGAGAGGCCATCTGACAACCAATTCTCCTTTGAATGACCACATCTACCGATATGAAATCCTGCCACAATATATATATATATATATAAAATGGCCCAATGGTAAGAGATTCAAAAGTTTGGGAACTAAAGTGCAATTACTCAAAAGTTGTGCCGGTTCTCACGATGAAAATTCGAGAATGCTAGAGATCAATTGAATAATAAAAGAAGTCAAATGGGTGAAATATAGTCAAAGTACTCTCACACATTAATTTCCAACCCAAAAAGTTATACTCCGGATTTTCAACCTCAGATAGAGACCCATTTTTGAAATAGCAAATGTTTGACTTGGAAAAATGATATCCTAAAAGAATTGTAGCCCTTTGATTTAATTTTCCAACGCACTTTGAATTGCATCAATCGGATACCGAGAGAGAAAGATATAACAAAATACGGATGACTCCTCGGGATCAAACCACGCCCGTACATTGAACAAAATCTCAGGTAGGGTCTTGACTCCTCCATATGACTGATTAAAGCCAAATTCAACCCCTCAAGGCATGAACCCCACCCATTACTAGGCGTGCATCTAGTAGATTTTCAGGGGAAATAGTTTGTTTTCTTTTTCTGGATTCAGCAAGTTTTGGGATGATATTTTTGGCATCTTTTATAACTTAAGGGAGGTCCTAAACGTCTTAAACCAAGTTTTTATCATTGAAAAGAGGCTAGCAAGTGGCAAAGAAGAGTTTTACAACAAACATTGAAGATCCAAGGCTTAGCCTAAAGTCATTTGTCGAAGAAATTGAGTTTTTAAGATCTAGATATTTCATACGATGATGTCTTTCTAATATCATTTATATAATTTTAACAAAATAATGATATGCTAAACTTCTTATGTATTGGATGAATGATGAAACCTATTAATTGCCTTTTTAATTCAAATATTAAGTATTTTAGTGAATTCTTGTGTTCTTGACCAATTATGCATACTTATTTCATTGTTTAAATGCTTGATCACTATTTAGACAATTAGTAGTTTATTGTAATGTTGAGAGGCTCGCAATAAATTAAAACATTACATATTTGATACGTGGGTAATATGTGTTAGAAATAACATTTATGGTGTGTGAAATTTAGGTAGATAATCGTGTGATTGAAACATATCTTTGCATATGAATTCAGACTAGTAATAGGGTTGGATCGTACTTAGGATATGTTTAATTTATGATTTATCTTGGAAAGAAGGTTAAACATGAGTTGATTATCAATTGTCATGGATACTTGAAGAACACTAACATGATTTGAGAATTGGAAATGGAGATCAATAGATGGATTCTGAATTCTAATATATTCATCACATTATTTGATAAAAATCATATCTTTTCATAGTCGTAGTTAATCTAGATACAACAAAAATAAACTCTTTTGTGTTACAATCATCGAATTTGGTAGAAATAGATAAACTATAATTACAATTATTCCTCGTGGGATAATACTCTTAACCTACAAGATTTATTACTTGTTAACGATCCTATTCACTTGCGAATTTTGTCCGAACTGTCAAGTTGACTTGATAGCAAAACTACCATCAGGTGTATTCCTCCAAATCACTCGATCTGGCTGAAATGCTTTTTTAACGAACTTTTTTGACAAACAATAATACATTTTTCCAAACACTAGGGACTTCTTTTACAAACGATGCCACAGACGAACATAAACAAGACCATTTCCTCTTTCCAAACATTAACTAATAACTAAAGAAAGAAATTCAGTAGTATATACAAAATTTATTTCTTAATTGTACTTCCTAAATCCTAAAGTAAAAGCGTAATCTTAGCCTGTTTTCATTCTCATCACATGCTCTATCATGTACCTCTTAACAACTAAATGATAGAGCTTGCACATTATGTATATCAAGACCTCCGTAGATACACAGTGAATAAGGGACCATGGCTTCACCATTTGAAGACGAAGGAGATGCAGACATCTTGTCCATATATGATGGCTTTACCCCGAAAAATATCCTAGAGTATTTTAAACAGGTTAGGAAAAGCATTATTGGGGTTAATTCACGAATTCAATTTTGATTTTACTATTTGTTATGGTTCATGTAATAGCACTGAGTGTAAGAGTTGCAAGTCATATGTCATAAATCAAATAAAGTGATAGCTAAAAAAAATGTTCAGGAGATATAAATGGATAAGTTGGCAGTGCAAACAAAACAATACAAAACATTGTAGATAATCAATTCTTACTAGAAAAATGAAAAACAAATGGGACAAGAAAATATAAGATTAGAATCCATACGTACTTGCACCAAGAAGTAGAAAAAAATACCAATACAAGTGCAATAAAGGCCCCCCACATCAGCAAGGAAGCTAACTGCATTGTTGGTAAGAAAAATGTAACATCAAATTACTGACTGCAGAAAATATAACTCAAATGTAATGAAATTGGAAATCAACACCAGAATGAACAACTTATAAAGTCTTTAGCCAAATAGGTCAGCAAGTTTCAAATTTCCAAAGATGAAATACTCCAAGCGAAGCCTGGTTCTCATGATAAAGAAGAAGACTTGAAAAGAAAAGAAACAATAGTTAGATTGCATTCAAAATATCCATAGAGTCGAATCAGAATGGCCTTTCCTTGAAGTTGATGAGGGAGGTGCATATTGCTCCATGTTTAGCTGATAAGACAGTGGTGCAGCATTCAGAATGAGGAAGATAGAAAGAAGATTAATGTATGGCAGATGCTCTTATGGCCTTATTAGAGTGAGATGTCTGAAAGATGGCCATATTCCCACAGTTATGGAGTTTCCGCGTGGAAAGGAAAGAATCAAGTCGGTTTTTCCCCTTCGACAAAAATCTCCATTCCAGCAAGGAAAGTTGTAAAGTAAGGAGACTCCTATGGCAGTTGGACACATGATATTAGAGAAGAAAAGGGTGGCAGCTTTAGATAATATGAAGCTGGAAGGTTGGAAATTTCAAAACATACAGCTCAGAGGGAGCACGTATTTTTCAGAATCAGTTTTCAGAACTAGAGTTGATTAAAGAGCATGGAGAGCATGAGAGATTGAGAATTTGGACCAGCCATTTTCATAATTTTAAGTTTTTAACTATTGTAAGAACAAGAAAAAACCAGTCAAAACTATTTTAGAAAATGAATTTGAATTTGACAAAAAGAAAAGTTCCATTGGTGGCTTTCATAAATCTATGGTCCCAATAGTTGTAGTCTCCAAAATATATTTCGGTCCAAGTTGGCTGGTATAACATCAGTACATGGTAAGTTTTGGTGTTTGGGGGAGATTTCAATTTAGCAAGCATGGGAGGGAAAAGTTTCATGGTTGTGGACCAGTCGCTTTAAAATAACCATGCAGAAGATTGATAAATTTATCATAGAAGGTGGATTGATAAACCTGCCAACGAAGAATGCAAACTTCACACTATTAAACTTTGCGGAAAATGTTGTTTCTTCTCGACTGGATAGGTTCTCATTCACTATAATTGGAGTGGTATTTTTCAGGATGTTCCCAAGAGGTCTTGTGGGTGGTTCCGGATCATTGTCTGGTGGAAACTAGTTATTCAACTTTAAGCCAGGGTCAACTCCACTTTGGTGGGAAACAAGTGGCTTGATCATAAGCTATGCAATTTCACAGTGGAGATTGGATGGCATTCTTCGTGTTTGGCAGGGGTACAAATTTATGTAGGCACGTTAAAATTGCAAAGGAAAAATTAATGAGAAAGTCAATGTTTTTGAGAAGGATTGAGAAATTGGAGCTGAAACACGTTTGACTTTAGTCATGGCTTTAAAGAAGAAATAGGGGCGGGCGTCGGGTGCTCCGGTTAGGATATTTCAAAGAACCATCCATTAAATTTCAGGTATTATGTAAATGGAATCATTCGATTTCATGTAATTTTTGGCGCTGACGGTTCCGGCTAAATTGTCCATCCCTCACTAAGTGGTTCGGTTCGAATATTTCAAGAACCGGAATCATCCATTAAATTCCTGATATTATGTAAATGGAATCATTCAGTTCCAATGTAATTTTTGGAACCACATTCGGAACCGGAACCGGAATCGAACCCGAACAGGTGGTTCCAGTTCAGAAGGTTCAGTTTCAGTTAAAATACCCACCCCTATGAAGAAATAGGTTCTTTAAAATGCAAATTTGAAGATATTTTAGTGAGAGAGGAAAGGTCCTTGAGACAAGAAGCAAAATTCAAGCGATCAAAGAAGGCGATACCAATTCTAGATTCTTTCATTTTGAGGTTGCCATAGAAGGGTTATATTAACCTTCAAAAGCAAGATGAAAGTTTGGTATGTGGGGAGTTGAAGGTCAAAGTAGCTTCCTTAGTGCCCGAGTTGAATTATAAAGTGGGGAGTCGTTCATTAAAGCTCATTGAATTCCATTGAGAGGTATGCATTAAAATAGAATTTTGGGATCTTGTCTTCCTAAAATGTCAGGATGAGTGGAAGGGGGTTTTGTTCTCGAGTGGTGGGAGACTTGCATTGGCAAAGTTGAAGCTCTTGAGCATTATTTTATGTCTCTTTTAGAGAGCACGGAAGGGTGGTTACGTTTATAGTAAATTGTATATAGACATCTTATGGGAAAGCAAGGAAGATAGGAGTATTGGACAAAAGGGCATTTCGTGGCTTGGTGTTTTCAAAATCGATAAGCAACGATGGTTTAGGTATGGGAAACTTAAAACACAAAAAATATGGTAAATTTTACGAAAGTGCCAAGTGGTATGAAGGTTCCCTTTATTACAAGAATCCCATTTTTGGACGGTGCTTAAGTATAAGTTGCGTAGCAATGGACCAGATAAAAGAAGTGGGTAGATTTTCAACTAGGAGTCCTTGGAAAAATATTTCACAATTTACCCCAGTATTTCTTTATTGTATGAGATTGAATCAGGGGTGGGGAGAAGATCAAATTTTGGAAACAGGTGTGGAATTGGAGGGGATGGAGTTTTTTACTCTTCGCTGTCCATTGCTATTTCTTCTGAATTCCATTGCAAGAGTTTCTATTTCCTCTTTTTTTCTTCAGAAGGATGGGAAAAGAATATAGCGCTAGAGTCAAGCATGACAATCCTAATTAGTTGAAAATAAGTGAGCAAAACTTCACCATATAACCGAAGTGTCAGCTTTTATCCCTTTCAGTGGCTTAGAAGAAAAAGAACAGAATGTTTTCACAGGAAGAGTAGTTGACAACGTCTAAGTATGTTTATTTGTTTACTTCTACATCTCATATCATGTTCTTCCACGACAATGCTAAAAAATAAAAATAAAATATGTAATGTTCTTCCACCAACAGGTGTATGTTTAACAAGTGGACCTCTTAAGCTTCTAGAGAAAAACCATGTAGGTCTGCAAGATCAAAGGGTTTTATATGCCAAACTCCCACACTATCCTGGGATTCATCATTTGCAAAGGTAATTGGTTTCAAGGGACCAAGGATCAGAAAAAGTTTAAGCTCAGGTAATGTAAATAGTGGCATGCACAATAAAACTCAATTATGGTTGATTTGATGGGGAGAAAGTTGGAACTTTGTAAAGCCTTTTCAATTTGGGAGTAATAATTCGAAACATGAAGAACAATAAGAAGAGAAGAGAACAAACACTAGGATGGTTCTAGCAATCCCATCTTGATTTTAAAATAAGAACCTTGACTTATACCACTACTTCATTAAATGAAGGCTACACTGATGTTGTGCTACAGGAAAACAAAAATAGGAAGCACCTCTTGACATGAATAATCATGAAAAAAGTAAAACTTCATCAGCAAATTCATTAAAACCACCGCATGAATCCAAAAATTAACTTAATAATAAATGCACTGAGGCTTTCTCAAGCTGAATTAGTGGTCCTACCATTCTTCTTCATGTCAGCGTAAAAATAAATTTTAGAAGCTTCCCTATAGCATTCTTTCCATGCATATGACTATGTTCTTTATGAATGACTTTGCTCCTTACAGTAATTGGCTAGCTGCTTCTTGTTATAAAATTAATTTTGTGATAAGAAAGAGATAGTTCTTAAATTCAGCATGTAGTTTCAACAATCGCAAGTCCATGACATTGATAATTGAGAAAGGAAATTACAAAAGGAAGTGTGCACGTCAACTCAGAACACTGTTAAAACAGAGTATAAACAGATAATTATATGGACTTTATTTAAACACATAGTCACAAACATATAATTCACATCTCCACAAAGTTCAATAAACAATGCAAAGTACTTTGAATTTTTTTCTCCAAACAATATAAACCTCGTACTTCAATTAACATCATAATGCATTGCACAAGGTAGAAGGATTAAAAATTTGCAAGGCGAGGAATAGAATTCAGAGAGAGAGCATATAAGTTTATGGAAATTACTCACCCGGTCCTAAAATATTTTGATTGTCAATCTCAACAATATATGAAGATAGGAAATTGACATACAATGTAGTGTTGATAAGTCCATCATTGGAGTTTTCAAGCGATGTTTGAAGCTGACTTATGTCACTAAAAGATGAACCAGGGAGAAAGTCGTGAAAAAGAGGTTGGATAAGTTTTAGATCACGTAGATTGTGGAATATTCTAGGAAATAAATTGAATTTCAGTATATTTGGGACGGCCCCTCTAAAGGTAACAGGTACGTCTTCAAAGTTGCTTGCATTTTTTAGCGTTCCACTGACAAAGCTCAAATGCTTCTTATCTGCATGGCTCTTTGCAGTAAGGTTGAACTGAAAGCCAACAGCAGTTGCTGGATTATTCGGAACATCAATGAACTGCCACGTGACATACAAAATGTCTTGAGTAAGCTGGCATTTGTTGCACTTGAGCGTAATAGTAGGCCCCTTGGTGGTGTTCAGACAAGAATAGTTAGCAAAGTTAGACAAAGGAGCGACCCTGTAATCAATGAAGCCTGGATTCCCTGTAACTAAAGTCCCAAGACCGCGCAATTGTGCACAGCTCATACTAGAAATAGTGGTAATATTGAATTCTAAGTCATTCAAGAATGCCGCTAAATCAGGTGCATTTGTTGCTCTAACATTATGAACCTCAACACTCCTCTTCGATATGATTTGGTAGAGCAACCTGTAGTGTAAAAAGTATCGTGATCCATAAATATAATACGCAGAGGTAGGTACCTCGAGACAGATAAAAAGAAGCAACAAAGTAAACATGGAGACGCAATAATAGTTTTACTCACGCAGCAAACAAACCAATAAAGAGTATCCAGCTAGCAATTGAGAAAGTCCCGCCAAGCTCTGTTTTTCGCTTCTTCACTTCCTTCTGGTCCTCCTACCCAAACCCCATACATAGTACCATCAATTGACATTATTAGCAACTGTTCCCTGAATAAAGAAAAGATGAAGAAAGAGTACACGACTTACAAGCCAGTGCCGAGTTGCGAATGAGACATCAAGACGGCTAATCCACCAGCGGATCTTGAACCAGGGAGAGCGGCCATCTGTTCCAAGGGGAAACAGGCGGAGGATAAGGCAGGTGCCGAGCCAGAAGAGAAGCATAGCAAGGGTGGCCTCTAAGAAAACGGCCTGCGACTGGGTAAACTTCTTGATGGAATCAAAGGAGAATATGGTCTCAGGGAATGCCAGAGTAGAATCATAGTCGACACCACTGTTCAGCTCCACCGCCGGCCCCAACTCCGTCAACAGCCCACAGCTGTTGCTGCTGAAATTGTAGAAGAAGCCAGGGTCGCACGCACACAACGTGCCGTTATAGCGGAAGCCATTTCTGGGGCATCGCACTGCTTGCATTGATTATTGAACTTAGATTCTTAACGACTGGTTACCAATTTGACAGTGAAATTTGGGGAATTTGGCTGTAAAGAAAGGGGGGAAGGTAAAGTAGAAAGGAATTCTGGAAAAAGCATAGGATCGTGGGAGGGTGGGAGGGAGAGAAGGAGTGGAGATGGACAGATGGGTCAAAAATGAGTCCCCAATTTGGTCTTCGGGCCGACCGCCAACGTTTCTGACTTGCCCGCCGCTTGTCTCTATTTCACAACCATTAAAATGAACTTTTTTTTATTTTTTATTTTTAGGAAAATAAATTTTGAAATAATATTTTTAAAAAAAATATGTAACTAGAAATGAGTTTGAAAATAATGCTACATGTACAATTTGCGATGTAATATTAAACAATTGGACAGTTTAAATTTTAAACAGTTTTTCATCCAATTGACATTTGACAACAATAATCAATGTTATTTGCAATGAAAATTATTGGCATTCTTTCTACGCGGCATATATGTTCCCGATTTGTGATTTGGTGCATTGATGTAGTAGTTTTTTATTTGTTTGTGCATCAAATCAAAAATTGTTACATATATGTCACGTAAAAAGGCTACCGATAGTTTTCAGTACAAATAATATTACTTAAAATCAGTGTACAAATAACAAAGTCCTTTATGCAAAATGAAAAAGTAAATCTTGCCTATGTTTCTAGTTTAATCTCGATCAAAATCAATAATTAATTTTAATTATATTTTTTTATCAAAATTTCTAAAAAAAAAAAAAATTAACTCCCCACAAAACAAGGACCTTATCTACGTGGCTTATATTTTGCAAAATACATATGCTCTTTATAAAGACAACATTACCCCAGAAATAAAGTTGTCATAATTGAAGTTGAAAATGTTTACAATTCTTCACTCTCTAGTTGATAGCTGAGGGTCCACACGTCCGTGTGGTGTTCAAAAAGTCATCTCCGTCCTAATTTCTATGACTACAACGTCGACTATTTAGAGATGACAATGAAGTGAGTCTGTTAGAGACTCTTGTTACTATCTCATCACATCCCATCCCATCAGGGGATCTGCTACGATTAAAAAATCTCAATTTACTTAGAGGTGTCAATCTGGGTGGTCCCGATCGGGTCAACCCGTCAATATATAAGCCCGGTAACGGCCCGCGTGAAAAAATCTGTCCGCTAAGGATTCCGGGTCGGCCTACAAATTTTGGATTACAACCTGACCCGCCCCTGACCCATCCGGGTTGAGCCAATGCGGGTCACTGGTCGTGAGGGTCGCGATTTGTTCCGATTTGGCCCGTATTATTGTATAGATAAAATTATAAAAATATATAATTTTCCATATTTATAGCAAAAAATATTTTTTTTGTTAAATGTAAACTAATAATTGAACAAAATAATAAATTCATATTTATACCAAAAAATATTTACATAGAATTCAAATTTAATATTACAAGAAATGTTTATAGTTTTGCAAAGTTAAATTTAACTTAACAAATAACAATTAAATGCATTTCTAATTACTATTATCAAATATTTATATATAAGTGCATTCCAATTAGTTTGACACATCTCCCCTTTTTCTCAAATTTTTAAAAAAAAAAAAATTTCACGGGCCAGCGGGTTAACCGCGACCCGTGAAGGTGCAACCCGCAGGTCACACCTCCTTGACCGATGAACCGTCTGGTCGGGTCACGGGTCTGCCCGCGGTCCCGGGTCAATCAAGGGCCGATTTTCAAGGGTCTGTCCGGCCCGTCCGTCTTGATACCTCTAAATTTACTGCTCCATAAAATCAATTAAAAACTTAGTTAATAATATTATTGATTTATTTAAATATTATATAGATCAAAAAACATAAAAATAAAATAAACAAAACGATTCGAGGTAGGTTCGTGGACTTCAAGATGGGGACCATGACCCTCATCCTTCTTGTTTACTATTTAGGGTGAGCTGTGTCTCGTTGAAACCTTTGTCATCCTGCAACTACTAGAGATTTTACTTCAATTTACATCTTTTGCCCCGACGATTTCTCTCAACCAAATAAGGCAGTATGTTTTCGTTATTATTAGTGTGATTACTATGCTAGATGACTTTATCTTACAGAATTTTGAGCATAATTTTAGCATATACTTAAAAGTACACATTTTGGATAATACAACATTCAAAATGTCTTTATTTTGCAACGTGTGATGTTGAATAATATTTAGTTGTTAATAGAATTTTTTTACTATGTTATTTGTAATGTTGTGGTGGTTTGACGTGGGAATTTATAACACTAAACGTTGAAGAGAGTTGACTTTTCCATGTGTTCGGAATATTCGAATTAAGGTCCAAATTGTATGGAGAAATTTTATTGACCATTTAGTATAGACGCGAACTTTGTAGATGAATTTGCCGATCACTACGTGTTTATTTTTGTTGTATCGATGATTCTGTGGTGGTCTGCTCTTGGCATTCGATGAAGTGATTATATGCATTGCATTAGCTTCTAAAAGTATTCGAATATCGAAATTAGGACGAAGTGTTGTAGAAAGATATGGTCAATTTGATATAGAAACCACTCGAAACATGGTCATCCCTAGAGTGAATGAAGGAACTTTATAGTCCACTGTCGAAGTTCCATTGGATGATTCATTCCGTTAAGGTCGAAAAATGATGTACGCTTTCCCCAACCATGTGTTGAAAATGATCTACGCTTCCATAGAAGAATTACTTTTTAATAGTAAATTGGGGGATTGAAAACGGGCAAAATGAGAAGAAACGGGGCAATCGATTTTTTTTTTTGTAGGGATTCATGCCAAAACAACGTCGTTTGATCGGACGAAACTGTGAACAGTGTTTTTAAAAGTGGCTCTTTTATTGTATAGGGATTTGTTATTATGTGATAGTCTAATGTTGATATATGAAAAGGTGAACACAATCGTTGCATTAACTTTTAAAACGCAATTCGTCAATTGAAAGCCTATTTATCGTCACATGACGATGAGAGGGTCGAAAGGTTCAAAGAGAGATAAAAAAACCTCAAAGTCGAGTGTCATCACCCAACGATTTGGCATCCTTCTTCGAACTTTTCACACTAGTCCAAAGTTTTATTTATGTCACGATGTATGGCTTTCCAAGCTTCAATCGTTCTGCTAATGAAATCTGAAAAGATAGCATATATATTAACACAGATAAATCAAAAAATAGATGTGTTCACAATTGGTTGATCGACAGTCTGAGATTTGCACAATGTTTGTTTCTTGAACAGTGTTACCAAGATAAAGTGTAGTTACTAAGATAAATTATTTATCAAAATGATGGATAGTTATAAGAATGGGTTTTGATTATTTGAGAAATGTAAATTTAAGTTTAACTCAATGAATTAATTGTTTATTATTATTTTTTTTTGTAAGTAATTTGTAGAATTAATCTACATTTTTCTGAAATTTGACAATGTGTAGTCTGTTTCATAAAACTGATTTCATTTGCTATCAATAGTTTAAATTATTGGCTCTCAGAGTTTCTTATTAGGGGGCTGGCAAATGCACAAGTGAAATGTAAAGTATTAATTCTGATTTAATTAAACCCTAGTTACCCTTTTAAAGTTGTAAAGAACCTAGGGTCCGTTTGATTGTAAGGGTGGAAAGAAAATGAATTCCAGGGAATGTAAGGCCCCGTTCTCTTTACCGTTTTCAAGCCGTTTTCTATTTTCGATTTTCTAAAATAGTGAAAACGCGTTCTCTTTCTTATTTTCGAAAACGCGTTTTTGAAAAAAAAAAAAATTATACTGAAAACACAAAACGCCATTTTTTGCGTTTTGGGCGTTTTCAGTACAAAACACCCAAACAAATGGAAAACACGGAAACGCTCAAAACGTAAAATCTCGTCTTCCTCCTATCCCCAAAAAATGGAAAACATCGAAAATGGAAACCATCTCTTCCCTCTTCTTCCAATCTCGTCTCTTCCTCTTCTCTTCTTGACGTCGTCAACCCACTCAAACACTGCAACTGGCACGGACGCGAGCGTAGGGAGACGACGCTACTGTGAACGCAGAGTCGTGGCCATGGGTGGTGGTGTATGTGCCGACATTGGCCATGGGTGGAGGCAGCCTCTCACTTAACAGGGAACAAAAAATCAAAAGAAGGTAGCCAATCATTCGTCTCTGCGAAGGTTGGATTTGCATTTCGTCTCGAATTTTTTGCTCTCTTGATAGAATCTCTCTCCAGCTCAAGGCAAATTATTTGTTGTTGCTGTAATTATTTGCCGAGCTTTTTTGTTATTATTTTTATATTTTTGGGTGTAGAAAGATTTTGTGCTCGTATTGATTTATTCCGGAGCATATGATGAGATCTGAAATTTGATGAGTTATAGATCCATTATTTGAGGTCTTTTTGAGTAGTAGGTTAATGGAAGGGTTCGATTTCGTAAGCCCAATGTCACTGATTCTTTTAAGTCCTATCTGTTTTTTTTAGCATAATACATTACTCGATCTATCCTGCGTCTTTACAGATCTGCTCTTTCTTATTGTCACTTATCTATTTCGTTTGAATTTAGCCTATCTGTATGTATTGTTGCATATTTAATGAGCATATTTGGATTTCCAGTTGAGGTTTATTAGGATGTTTGTGGTTGGCTGTTTGGTAATGTTATGCGCAATGCAGTTTTCTTGTTTCGAACTCAACTTTCAACCGAGAATGAAAAGTTATGGGCTCACCAGTCTCCTCTTCCCAGTCCCTCTATGTTGAATTGGGATGGTTCACATAAATTTAGCGATCCTAAGAGCTTACATGTTAGTAGACATGGTGTGGAACTTGAAGAATACTCAAAGTGTCTAATTTACCTTACCAGTTTGGATGTGGTTTAATGTCCAATAGATATTTTGCTAGTCTTCAAGTCAATCTTGAGATAACTTGATTTTGTATATTTACCGCTTAAAAACACTATTATCCTCTTATTGTAATGGGTAATATTATAGAATATTGTTTACTATATTGTCTAATCATTTCTAGTCCAAAGACACTTTGAA